TGCTCAGCTCAGAAATCCTTTAGGAAGACCTCTGCAGGCACCTTTGCAGTGCAGGTGCAGAGATGCCAGGCTTGGAGAAAGGGCTGTGTTAACAATTGCAATGTATCTTTAAGTTACCAAGTGGGGACAGGTGGCTTCTGTGCTCTCAGGGAAATCATCATATCTTGTGTTTCACCATTCAAATCTCAACTGGAGACCTATTTCCAGGCTGTTTGCTGCCTAGAACGGAAGCTGTAAACTTCTGTGACTATTAAATTTGGCTTCTTTCCCAGCTTTAACCTGAAGGACATCCCCTCTGGGCTGGGCAGCGACTCGAGACTGGACCGCAGCAAAGGAGAAAGCCGCACAGAAAACATCCTCATGGATTCCTCCTCCACCCTGATCAACAATGAGGGTAACGTTTCTGGGGTGGTCCTGTGGCTTTTCCCTCCTCAGCTGTAGATGGCCCTGGTATGGAACAAACTGGTAAATTTATCCTGTAAATTGGGGTGATTGGACCTGCTGCAGCCCCCAGGTGAAGCACGCTGAGCCCCAGGGTGTTGCGGAAGGACAATCTACCCCCATGAGTGACCCCCATAGTGGTGGCTGTGGGTGCCAGGAGCACAACTGCAGTGGGCAGCTGAGCCATCTGGCTCGGACACAGCCTGGCATGCTGTGGCAGGACACGGGGGATGTGGATCCATCCATGTGCCTGAGGGGGTTGAGCTGATTTCTCTCTCCTTGGGCTCGCAGACAACGAGGAGACGGAGGGGAGTGATGTGCCTGCCGACTATCTGCTGGGAGATGTGGAAGCAGATGAGGATGACCTGTACATGATGGACCATGAGAACCCACATGGTGAGTGCTCACTCAGCTGGCGTTGCCTGTGCCAGACACATGGCTTGATTTTTCTCCTGGTCTTCCCTGCTTGTTCCTGATCAGATCTCTCTCCTCACAGCTGAAGAGCAGGAATACAGCCTTCCCCAAGAAGCCTTCCCCCTGCGCCACGAAATTGTGGACAACCCGTCAGCCTTGGACCACCTGCAAGACAAGGCTGACTCTCCTCACGTCAGCGGCAACGAGGCTGAGACGGTGTCACTGACACCCGTGGAGTCCTTCTCCCTCATTTCCATCTCCCACTCGCTCTACGAGAACCGCCTGCCCTCTGACTTCTTCAATCCCATTGTGCGGGACACGCTCCTCTTCTATGCTGAGCAGGGAGATGTGCAGACGGCCGTGTCTGTCCTCATCGTGCTGGGAGACCGCATCCGCAAGGAGATTGATGAGCAGACCCAGGTAGACCCCGGGAAGCCCCTTCCTGGCTGCGTAGGAACTGAACCCTCCCTTCAGGGCTGGTGCAGCAACCCCACAAGATGGAGTAGGACAACTTGGTGGGACCCATAGGTGGTGTATCCCAATGCCATGGGATCCTGCCTGGGCTCTGGGCACCTTCCTTCTCCTCCAGCCAGGCTCGCTCTAATCTGGGGTGGGCAGCTCCAGGACCCCCGGGACCCAGTTGGCCACCCTACCACCAGTCCTGGCAGGGACCCAAGGTGGTGTCCACAGGGCCAGAGTGGGGAAGTGGCCTTGGCCTGTTGATTTGGGGAAGGATGCCTCTTCCCCAGCCCTGCAAGAACAGTTCCCCTGCTGCAGGAATCTTGCCTTTGGGATGCAGGACTGGGATCCCGAGGGGGTTTTGGGGGGCATCGAGGCTCAGCTGTCTGTGGCTGTCCCCAGGAGCACTGGTACACGTCCTACATCGACCTGCTGCAGCGCTTCCAGCTCTGGAACATCTCCAACGAGGTGATCAAGCTGAGCACATGCCGCGCCATCAACTGCCTCAATCAGGCTTCCACCACCCTGCACGTTAACTGCAGCAACTGCAAACGGCCCATGAGCAACAGGGGCTGGATCTGTGACAGGTGAGGGCAGTGCTGTGGGCAGGGAGGTGGGGGGACTGCTCTCTGGTCACCAAGGGGAGTCCCAGAGGGGCTGCAGGGGCAGGAGGATGGGGTTGGTACCCCCTCTTTCCCCCTCGTTGCCCTCCCCAAGGGTTCTCTTTGCCCATGCTTGCCCTCTTCTCTCCGGCGCAGGTGTCGACAGTGTGCCAGCATGTGTGCTGTCTGTCACCACGTGGTGAAGGGGCTCTTCGTCTGGTGCCAGGGCTGCAGCCACGGCGGCCATCTCCAGCACATCATGAAGTGGCTGGAGACCAGCTCCCACTGCCCCGCAGGCTGCGGCCACCTCTGCGAGTACACCTGAGCCCCTCGCCGGCCGGGGGAGACGGCAGCCAGGGGGGGCAGGCAGCGGGGGGCA